CGCCGAGGGGGCCGGGGGCGCCAAGGGGGCCGCGGGCGCCAACGTCAGGGGCGCCAGGGGTGCCAGCGCCGCGACTGGAGGAGGCGCCGCATGCGGAGGGCGCGCCTCAAAGCCAGGGGGCGGGCCAAGAGAGGCGCGCGAGCACCCTGGGAGAGGCGCCGAGGAGCTCGCATCACCGGTAGCGGGAGGAGCAGCCGGGGGTACCTGGTGAAACGGAAACACATGCTCATCAAAGTAAACGTGCCGGGAAGTGAACACACAATGGGAGACGGGATCGTAGCATCGATATCCCTTGGAGTTGGACGGGTAGCCGATGAAGATGCAAGCGACAGAACGAGGTGGGAGTTTGTGAGGAGCGGAGTCGGCAATGCTAGGATAGCAAAGGCACCCAAAAATGCGCAAGCCATCATAAGATGGGGGCGTACCGAAGAGAAGATGGTGAGGTGCATAGTTCCACCGTGGGCGGCAAGGGCGAAGGTTAAGGAGAAGTGAAGCAGTAGCGAGTGCGTCCGGCCAGAAACGAGGCGACACGTTAGCATGGAACAGGAGTGTGCGAACGCAGTCGTCCAGAGTGCGAAGGACGCGTTCGGCTCGACCGTTCTGCCGGGAAGTATACGGGCATGTGAGACGAAAAACTGTGCCGTGATGCGATAAAAAAGTGCCGAAAGCAAGGTTATCGAACTCTTTTCCATTGTCAGTCTGAAGAGCAAGAATGGGACGTCCAAACTGCGTGCTGACATAGGAGTAAAAAGCCGTTAAGGTGGAGAGTGCATCCGATTTTTTGCGCAAAGGAGAAGTCCACATATAATGAGAATAGTCATCAAGGATAACCAGATAATATAAATAGCCCAAATTACTAGGAATCGGAGAGGTCCACACATCGCTATGAATCAACTGAAAAGAAAAAGAAGCGACGGTGGTTGAGGTATTAAACAGGAGGCGAACATGTTTGCCGAGACGACAGGCATGACAGGTGTGATCCTCTATCTTATGGCAACTAAAATTTAAACTCCTAAGAATATGACGAAGGGTGACGGGGTTGGGATGACCCAAACGAGCGTGCCAGAGATCGACGCCGGCGGAGAGAGCAATCGGTGCGGTGGTGGAGGTGGACGGTGAATGCACCGGATAGTGCTCGTCAAGGCTGTCACATTAGTGAAGTACCATCCTGATTCGAGCGTCCTTGACACAAAATCCAAGCTCATCGAATTCAACAGTAACAGAATTTTCACGAGTTAAACGACGAACAGAAACAAGGTTCTTAATAAGATGAGGTGACACAAGTATGTTAGACAAAGTAATAGGCATGGAATTGGAAGGGAAAGAAGTGTGCCCGACATGTGTGATAGGGAGTGTGGAACCGTCACCGACAATAATGCGCGGTTGGTGGTGACGGGAGTGAAGGAGGCAAGATTATCAGGGTGAGCAAACATGTGAGCCGTGGCACCGGTGTCCATGTACCCATCACCACCACCAGTGGAGTTGTGCGGCGTAGGAGCGGCATGCAGCCCGGTGAGGAGCACCGGGTCCCAGG